GCAGAGCAGAGCCTTCGTGTTTATAAAGGGTGAGCAGAGCAGAGCCTCCGTGTTTATTAGCACGATGTGCACTCACAGATACACGACTCTTCATACGGCCAGCTCTCTAAACTACCTCGTATTCATTCTGGCATATGGCTCCAGAGCTTCATCTGTCAAACTCTTGTAATATTGAAGAGATATAACTCTTCTTTTCTGTGTTTTTCACTTTATTTGCTTATTGACTAACTAACGAACTAAACTGCTGAACCGACAGAAATGAAGGGAAGTAGTTTGGTAATTAAATTAAATCCAGTTTATTATCCTCGGGTTGACGCATCGATGTTTTTATATTCGTGGAGAAGCTGCACATGTTTTTAAACTCTGTTTTCTGCTGCTTGTTTTATTATTATTATTATTATATGCTCCTTATGACACAATAATAATTAGCATCCACTGTTTTATTATTTTTATTTATTTTTCATTACCAAAGAAATCCCCCAGAATGCAAAGCAGCCTTTGTTCTCTTTATTGCTGATGTGGAGGGATCGTATGTCAGCGTCATCACATGTTTGGTGAGATCGCCCCCTGGTGGTGAATGAAGGGAAACACATAACGGTGTGTTTGTGTTGCTGCTGCAGCTACAGGAGGGTTCCAGGAGACAGCTGCAGAGGAGGAGACGTGGAGTCCAGGCTGGATGGAGAGATGCTGCCGTGTCCGGTCGGAGGTAAAGCTGCTCGTTTCCTCCATCATGTGGTCGCTCTGTCGCTTCATTCACTGTCAGAACACATCTTTTAGTCTCTTTATAGCGTTCTCTTGACTCCTGTTCTCCAGAAGAGCAGTGTGTCTTATTAAACACTTACCTCTGCTCTTGACATGTTTGGGGGGGATGGAGATGAAGTGACTGTCGTAAATTAAAACAAGATGAAATCACTGAAATTTCCGTCTGAGCCCCAAAACCCAGACGGCGGGATTAAAAAGTTTTCTTAGAACAATTTGCCAAAACTTCCCCGTTTATCGCAGCCAGAAGCTGTAAAAACCGTCATTATCGTCAGATTTTCATCTTTCCGACGGTCTTTGAAACACAACCATGTGATGTTTAAGTGTCACTCTCGTCTCCTCTGCTGCGTCCAGAGAGCAACGAGTTCATCCTGTACGCGGTGAGGAACTCCATCCACCGCTACGACCTGGCCACCGGCACCGACCAGGCGCTGCCTCTGGCCGGCCTCCGGGAGGCCGTGGCTCTGGACTTCGACTACGACAGGAACTGCCTGTACTGGGCCGACATCTCGCTGGACACCATACAGGTTAGTGGGGGGGATTCAAGAGGGGGGGGGGTTCCAACAGTTTTCTTTCGATGCATAAAGCTTAAACAGACGCGGATCAATAAACAAACAACAAACATGATTGGATGAGACTCGACCAACCACTCTGCTGTCCTCTCTCTCTCTCGCTCTCGCTCTCTCTCTCTCTCTCTCGCTCTCTCGCTCTCTCGCTCTCTCTCTCTCGCTCTCTCTCTCGCTCTCTCTCTCGCTCTCTCTCTCTCGCTCTCTCGCTCTCTCGCTCTCTCTCGCTCTCTCTCTCGCTCTCTCTCTCGCTCTCGCTCTCTCTCTCTCTCTCTCGCTCTCTCTCTCTCTCCTGCAGCGTCTGTGTCTGAACGGCAGCACGGGTCAGGAGGTCGTGGTGAGGAAAGATCTGCAGAACGTGGAGGCTCTGACCTTTGACCCCATCAGCAGGCTGCTCTACTGGGTCGACGCCGGAGCGCAGAAGATCGAGGTACAGAGAGCGTCTGAATGTGCTTCAACTGATCCAGACTCACGTTGTTATGAGACTGCTTCATTTTAGACAGTCAACACTCATAAACATTATGAGTGTTGACTAACGTTGTGTTCCACACGGTCACTTATTCATGTCATGCAGTGAATGCAGTTAGACATTAAGGCAAAACACCTTTTAAGATATCAAAGGTTGTGGTCACATCTGTCTTTTGTGAGCAGATGTTCCAGATGTGTCCTCACTTCTATTTTTCGTGGTCAAAGGAGCGGCTGTAAAACGGGATCAACACATTTCATTTAAAAAATCTTCACAGTAAAAGTCCCCCGTTATTTGTGCTGCTTCGTCTTCCTCCCTGCACTTTTATTTCACTTGTTTCGTTGAAGAAGC